AGGACTGGCCTAGGGGTATTTTAAAGGGGTTTTAAATTAAATTTTTAGTAGAAGCGGCCAAATTTAAATATTTATTTTTAATCTTTTTAAATTTTGTATTGTATTACTGTTTTAAACTGGCTGTAAGCCGCCCTGAGTCCTCCGGGAGAAGGGCGGGGTATAAATTTAATAAAATCTAAAATCTAAATCTAAATCTAGATGATAGGAAACTTGGCTCTTTTATGACTCGTGGACTTCAACTCCCAGAATTCCTGAGCCAGCATGGCTCAGCTTGGAAACCTCTCCCTTTCCCCTCAGCATGGCTGGCTCAGGAATTCTGGGAGTTGAAGTCCAGGAGTCATAAAAGAGCCAAGGTTGCCTACCCCTGCACTAGGTATTCTTCTATTGGTGTCCTTTTCCTGAGGAAGCAAAGGGGAATGTGAAGTTGTTTAAAGTTTTACCGTTGCATTTGTACAGGAGGTGCTTTGTTATTCTGTTCAAGCTTAGTTATGTGTCTTTTAGCATAAATTTGATTTCTTATTTATTTAACACGTTTATATGGCCTCCCATCTCACGAGAAGCAATTCTGGCAGCGTACAACGATCAGTAAAACAACAAGTATAAAACAATCTTTCTAAAAATATTTTTAAAATCCTAATAAAATGAAAAAGACTACAAACATTTAAGATACACAAAGCGCACTGCTGTACTTGCAAGACAGGGGCTTGTCTGGACAATAATTATCGTCCTTTGCAACACGCACGTGCACACAATGTTTGCTGGATGGCAGAACCCAGATTCCTGCTGTTAAGCCTACTTTAAATCTGACTTAAGGAGGATGTCGCGCAATACTTTCCTCGCTGGGAGTCTCAGGGCTTAAGCAGGGCAGTGGCTTAGCTATAAAAACCAGTTGCTCCCCAGATCCCAAGCAAAAGTCGATATTTATTTTTCTCGTGGGATTCGTTGTGATTAACTTCAAACTGTACTTTCTGAAAATGGTGCTCAATGTGGAAGATACTGCCTATTTGTTGCATAATGCTGTAAGTATTTGGGGAAGGAAAGGGGATACAGAAAGCCAGAAACAAACAAACAAGCAAAAAAATATTGTTTGTTACTCTTGCTGGGATTTCAAAGTTGGGGGTAAATTTTGGAAGCTTTATTTTTCTTGGATTAGAAATAAATAAGAAAATATCTATATTTATGACTGACTGGAAACTCCTTGCAGACTTTTTGCATGAAACAAAAAAATGCATGTATGATGTGTGGTTCTGATGATTAGGAATAAAAATGGATATTAGGAAAAAAATGAGCTTTGTAATCATGGAGTGAGTGATAGCTTTTCAATCATACCGTACTTGTATTCACTGCAAAGGAAATTGAAAGCTGCTTTTTATTTCCTTTTATCCTTTCTTTCTGCACTTTTGTTTTCCCCCCCCCTTCCTTTCTCTTTCTTTGTTGCTTCTGAATTAGTTCATATATGTTTTTATGTTGACTTTAAAACTTTTAATTACAAACAAACACACACACAAGAACCGTGACCCGTTGGTTCATTGTTTTAGAGATATAGCCTTACCAGATTCTTCAATGTTTTCAATGATGGCAAAGCTTCTAATCTTCTGGAAAAGTTTTTTTTAAAAATTCAGAGAGATTATCTGCCTTGAAAGTAGCCCGTGATGAACTGTACAGCACAGTGAAACATCAGGAATTGCCCACCAGAAAGATTTTATGACATTTTGAATGCCATAAGTGTTTTATGATAACCTTTATATCAAAATGTTTTATAACATTTGCCAAATTTCAATTCCCTTTGAGTCGTGGGTCTAGATTTTGGATGCACTCCATAAGTTAGCCCATTTGAGGTAACTTGCCTAAAAAATTGTCACCCTACAATATACCATTTTGCCCAGTTAAAGGTTACAGACCCAA